CGCAGAAACCCCGTCTGAGAGCGCGGCCAAAGAGGACAAACCCGCAGAGGAGAAACCCTCGCCCTCCTCTACACCCGCCAGGTAAACACACACACACACCCCGTTTATATACCAGGACTCAATGTCAATCAAATCGAATTAAGTCAAAATGTCAATCAAACTCAAATATCAAGGAATTCTATTTGACTATTTACAGGGTATCTGCAGAAACCAATTTAAGGCTTTTTATGACCTGCACAAATAAAGTGAATACAGTAGGGCAATATCTATGGTAACATATTAAACCATAAAATACAGGCTTTCACAAAAAAAAAAAGTCTTATAAAATGATAAACATCACATTTAAGCCTTTAAACCATTTTTAAGAAAAGGGATGAGTCCAACGTAGGGCTGGGACAATAAATCGATGCATCGCGAATCGAGAAAGGATTCTGAGATTTTCCGAAGTCATTGCGATCCTCTCTCGAGTCGATCCTGAGCTTAGTGTTTAACAGCAGATGGCGCTGCGTGCTTTAGAAACAGCCGTATTCTGCTTGCTTCCAGTTCCTTACACGCACACCATTTAAAGCTAAAATAATCATTCATAAAGTTCGAAAAGGTTGAAGCGAACTACAAGGATGTTCACAGTGGGCTGTGTTTACATTAATCACGCATCATGAAAGCAGAGGTGCAAGTACATTTAACCAGTTACATGACTCAGCCGAAAGCACAAGCGCTCTTCTTCGTGAGCATTTGAGTGTGCGGTTCAAAACTAACCTAGCGCGCCATCTGCTGTTAGAAACTAAGCTCACAATCCATTCCGGAGAGAATCACGATGCATTCCGAAAATCTCAGAATCGATCCACGAATCACGATGCATCGATTTATTGTCCCAGCCCTACTTTACATTATTCCTGGAGGACGGACACAGTCCAGCTCTGGGTCAAACGCGTCGAGACTCTGATGTTGGCGTCAGACGCTCTTGCGGTCCTGGATGGCGTCGACTCTCTGAGCGAGATCTTTGAAGGTGGGCCGATCGCCCGGCTCTGCCTCCCAGCACTCCTTCATCAGCGCGTGAACCTGTGACACACACACACACACACACACACA